ATTCCAAGCGGCATTTTGAGACCGCTAGTTTAAATGGATGTCCTCTAAGATGAACGTTGGGTGATAATTTCAGAAGCGGGCGACACGGATGGCTTGGGTTTTCCATTATTTGGTATACCATAATCATATCTCCTCTGATGCGCCGGTAGTGATTGGAATATAACCCCAGGGACTTCAATCTCTCTGCGTATGAACACCGATTCAACCCCCTGATCATTTTGGTGGCCATCCTTTGTGGACGCTTCAGCATCTTCCAATCCCGCTGTAGCCATGGATTCCAGGCCTGGATAGCGTATTCTGTGAGTGGTCGAATGTATGCTGATAGTAGACGGGGGAATAAAGCTGACTCAAACCGGCCGAAGACCCGCTTAATCAAGCCGACATCCTTTACAGCTGCGTTGGACACCTTGGTGCAGTTGTGTGAGCAGCTTAAGTTTTCTTGAATGATGATACCCAGGTCCGTCCCATTTGTGGCGTGTGGCAGTTGTTCATTTCCGAGGAAATATGAAAATTTCCCCTTGTGTCTTACAGATAGAACCTTGCATTTTGGCACATTGAATTCTATATCGTTCATAAGGAACCACAGATGAGCTGCATTCAACGTTTCTTGGAGTGCCAGTGAGCCCGTTGGTTGCATTACTGTATTCCAAATTTTGGCTTCATCTGCGAACAGTAATGATTTTGGCCCCAGAGCCTTCGGTAGATCGTTTATGAACGTTATAACTTATAACAGCATCATCCCTTATATTGCCCGAATCTCAGTAAATAGAGTAACTATCTGCACTGATTTGTAAACTCAACCATGACGTTAAAAAAACAAATTGATGTGATACATCAATTTTTTATTTCATAAACGTTTAATGTGCGCATTTTTTTCACTGTATCTTGTAGGGAGTGTTGAAAACCCCCCATATTGGTTGCATGAAGGTCGACTTGACTTTCAATGATTTTAAACTGACCTGGAAACAACCAACGTAGCATCAACACAAAACGAAATGTAAAAGTCGAGTTTAATATGATAAGGTGAAGCAGATTATTATCTCGCTAAAAAAGGATTTCATAACAATTAGCTTTAATTTGTCCTATTAATGCTAATAAAAACAATGCTAATAATAGTAATCATCACTTTTTGATTGATAGGAAGCCACATAGAAAAGTGTGCTAGCATGATACCGAATAAAGACTCATCGCGATTGTAATTCACGCCGATCTACAGATAATCCCTTGCATCCGATGCTTTTCTAGATGCCATTTGTATATTATTATTTGGCAGAAGTTTTAAGGTCACCCTTATGAATTTGGCTGTTCGCTATCCCGTTTGAACTGCTTGCTAAACTGACCGTGTGGAATTGACCAGAAATTATGGAAATCGATGTGTTTCACATCGCCAAAAGAGGATTGATCGAAACTCCGTTTTCCAAATCAGTAACCATTACAGATGCCCCGAGATGGTTAGTGAAATAAACTAGTTTCTTATTCGATAAGTGCATTATTAAGCCATGAATCAAAGCGCCGCAAATTTATTATCATATCAGCACGACTAGGTTTACTTTTGACACGATGCAAGTTGTATTACAGTTTCATTATTTTATCTGCTTGTAAGTGATAAGTGAGAGAAAGAAAACGAGGTAGTAAAACCGAATCTGGTCTTTGTGCAGTTAGAATACACAAAAATGACAAGTGATCACTGCCTTTACTTTTGGTTAATGTTAAATGTTAAATGTTAAATGTTCGAGCAATTTCGTGAATATAGAACGAAAACACTAATGACTTTGACCGTTCATCATAGGAAGAAGTTGAACCAACTTTGAATTCACTTAAGAGCGTTTACTTTGTTGGATAATTAGCCATCTTAAGAGAGAAATTACGTTCCCCTCTCTAGTTTGGGTGTCACTCTAACTGCTACACGTTTTCCTATTTTACCACCTACGAATAAAAATCAGATGATAACTCCTATTGGTAAAAAGACGCAGAGTTAAAAAGGATAGCTTTTTCTTCGTAAGCCACATGAACTCCTATAGAGTGGTGTTTTTGTCAATCACAAGTAAGTTCTAAATACCGGTGTTCAGTGCAAGAAAAAAATAGATGATTGATCACTTTGTTGAATTACAAATGCTCACTTGCCATCCATTCTCGATACCTTGCTCGAACGACCCATGCTCGTAACGTATACCCTGTCCGGTTGCAGCGAGTCGTAATGTGGCCATAGAATCCAGGAAGCATGCAGCCAGTCTACCGAGGCCACCATTGCCTAGGCCTGCGTCACATTCAATGTCCTCCAGATCTTCTATATCCAGTCCCAGCTGAAGTGAGGTAAGTAACAAAGAAAAAGACAATTAGTATATTCGTAAAAGCATAGAATTGTCAAAGTTCGGATCTCATTAGTAAACCTTTCGAAGGCCCAAGAGCGAAAACGTGCATCAAAACCTTCAAAGACAAGACGGACGTATCTACATTCAACTAGTTGATAAATGTGTAGCTTTCTGCAGAAGATAGCTAATAGGAGAAGTATCTTTGATTTGTTAGACCACCGTATTCCTTTAGATATATTCATCTCTTTGATCATCATTATTTAATCAACTGTCCCCTGAGCCTCCAAGAAGCTACGAATGATCTCAGTGGCCAAACCCAGACAGCTTATTTGATAAGTGCTTTAACAAGTTTAATGACAACCGTCATCTAAACTCCCCTGCGGTACGGCATAAAGAAAAAATTCAGGTTTTACCCAGTGAGAAAACGGAATATATTACTTGGTTTTATAGATGTGAAGACATCTGCGCGCTTCCCTAGCTTATAGTACCAAGTTATCGAACTTCAAACGAAGTCCTAGGAAGTAACACATCAACACATATTTGCCACATGGCCCACACTCTGTTTACTAAGGCTAGAGTTTTACTCTAGGTAGAAAAGCTAGATGACATTAGAAAAGTCCCTTGTATTAAACTACCCAGAAGCATAAAGATATTTATCAAGCTGGACCATCCTCTCCAAGGAGCCAGTAACAGCAAAATAGTAAGAAATCAATGTGCCACCACCAAACAAACTACTGTGATATATCTGTGTTTGTGAAAACGAGGAATATTTGCTGTTCTCCTATTCCGGGAGTCTTCTGCTTCCAAAAATTCTAACGTCATATCCGTCAATCGATAAATTCTCAAACACTTTTTCTTCTGTATTTTTCTTAAACTGGGGAATGAAAATATTGCTCTCGCTAATTGATAAATTATGCAGATTCCAACCGTGTTGCTGTAAACTGGCAGCCTCCAGATGGTGGTGTCTATGTGGTTAGGTCACCAGCTTGTGGTCCGGGAGTCCCGGGTTCGAGCCGCTCCACCTTCTCCCGTCTTCTCTATTTCTGTATCTACCTTGGCAGCTTTTGATTGGCAGCGGTTTCCTTCCTGAAGGTTGCCGGTATATTTGTATATTCAGTAAATGAAAAAGGAAGTAAAAAGACCTTTATTTTTTACTATTCGTTATTAGATGCCTGATTCTTATATCTTATAACCGCATATCACTTACAAATCAAAGCATCTCACCTCTGCGGCTTTATCAAATACAAATAGCTTATCTGAGGAATCGGTATATGAAAAATTAAAACTAATCAATTTGGCAATAGTATAAGGATTCCAAAGCGAAACTTTGTTGCCCAAAATGTTTCCAAATACTTCCGCATTGTTCAAGAGATTATTAGCAAAAATATTTGCGAATATTTCCACAATTTTGAAAAAAATGTATAACCAACAGTTCGATATTGTTTCTACACTATGCCATGACAAAACGAAAGTTCGACCGGTGTTTGTGCTAACCTGTTACGATGAAAATCCAATGAGCGCAATGCACCACTGCGAACAATGCAAATGTAACTGTCTTTCTACGTTAGTCTTCTGTGAACGCGATCGCTTATGTGATAACGTTTGAGACAAAAGCTGTAAGCAAAATGCGTAAGATCATTCTATTCAGTTTAGTCATCGTTCCTTCCGAACATAAAAATGAAACGGGCCAAAAACAGATTTATCAATGCATATTACTTGAATGACAAAGGTAATAAAACTGGAAACTGCCACTTACTAGAAAAAACGGTCTGATTTTTAACTCAACTGCAAAAATTTATTTAAGTTTGATTCAATTATATTGAGTGAAGGAATGGTTGTTCTCATGGATGTGATGTTTCATAGTCTGTTCTCACCTGGTACATAGCTTCGTCTATGACATCGGTGATGTTTACGCTGAGCATGGTGTTTGACAATGTTCGCCCCATGCAGAACTCCATGGATAGGAAGTAAATTCGCTGAAGTGAGAAATTTTGGCAAAATAAATTGATGGAGCTAAATAAAATTGCAAGTTAACCTAAGGAATGAAATGTGTGACTAGATTTCATGGTTCCAGCTTGACACGAACAAAACTGAAGGAACCAATACAGGAAGAATCAAAAATTTGTGTGCTTGAGTTTTGTAAAACCCCATTTCCAACCTGTTCGGTGTATTTTTCAAACCGTATCATATGGGCAATCTAAAGTGTGCTCATCCTCTTAACGAAGTTAAGTAATGCAGGTTGATCGACGAATACCTTATTTAATTGTGAAAACCCAAAATAAACGCGCATTCACCCCTAACCAGAGTTCTAACATTTTATATCATTTGTTAACTTTAGACTACAGGCCAATTAGGTTATGGTTCTCCTATTTATTATCTGAGACTGAATCAAACGATTTTATAATAAAATGGAATCCAACCGGTCCTCATCCTGATCATTAGTAGGGATCTTTCGATCATTCTTCAAACAAACTCAGCTAAGAGAAGTAGTATTATGTATTCCGGGAAAATAACCTCGTAATATTTTGAATTTAAAAGCTGTTTTTTCATTTCATTCACAAAGATCTTTTTACTTTAGTCACCTCGGAAGTGAACAAAATACGAACCGAGCTAATATAAAAGTCTACTTTTTTCCATCGATATACTCGATTGATGGAAGAATTAAAAAAAGAGCTTTTGTGTGTGGGGAAGTTCCCTTATCTTAGGGGGTTAGAGCACAATGAAGAGGGTTGTTTGGGGTCACATTAACACACGCTTTAACAGAAAGTAGGTGATTGTTCATTCCTCAATTTTAAAGCTCGTCAAGAGTTCTGCATCGGATAGGGGGTTAAAGCTTAGGCTCTCAAGCTGTCAGGAACACACGTTATGCACTCCTGATTAGCTACGACATGAGCTAAAAGAGTTTTCAGTTCTCTTTCTAACTACATGTAGCAAATTAGAATAGTAAATTGTAGTGAACAGATAGTACAGTTATACTAGTGTAATTAAATTAAAAACAAAAGGCCAATTCCATAATAAGTGAGCTGGTTGAGTCAACAAAATTCTGGTGAACAAATCGAGATGATAGAATCTGATTAACAACTCCTCACCAATAGTTAACAGTTTGCCTCTACTGGCGGAAGATATTTGAATGAACATATACATGGTTGATAATACAGTATGGTTTCACATTGCAGTTGCGGTGACGCATAAATAGACAGAACCAACTGCCAACAATCACAGCCAATGGTCGAACACATTCCAAGGGGGTTGATGAATTTGAGAACGCAGCCCAAAGTGCTCACTCGGAGCCCGGGATCACCTATTGCAAACACTTCATGACAATCAAACATAACTGACCCCGCTTCTGGTTTAAAACCCTTAATACGTAAATACAACGCAACACCATTGATCATCAGTGAGGCGTTGTTATTCCGGCTCCGCGCACTCATAGGTTGTTGGCGTTATCAGTTCACTTGATGTGGAGTTGATCCTTTGTTTTTAATTATAATGCCCTTCGTATATCTGTACATGTTCGATCACTAGGAATTACCAGCCCAATATGGTCTATTTTTGCTGGTTTGTTTTACGTCAACGATTGAGAAGATTGAAAGAAATGGTAAAACCTCGCTCCATGTATCTTTTTTCGGTCTTAATGGGATGGACAAAGGGAACCCAGTGCTTCAAATAAAAAGCATCAAAGTAGAACCACATACAAAATAATAGAATTTACCCAATGAGCCACAAATAGTGAAATTGTACAAGCCGATTAAATAGGAACATAATGTAGATCTATGGTAATGACTAATATTAGCTGACATTAAACTGTTAAAACTGAATCACTTTGAAACAGAGTTAAAATTATAAAAGTTCATGGTTAATGTCGATAAAGTGATAAATTTCCACTTTCATAGTTTAAAAGAAATAAGGTTTTAAGAGGCAGACTTCCAGAAGCCGTTTGTTAAGCTGCCATACCAAAATTTTGACAACTCGTGCGCTTGTTCAGTTCTGGAAAACTTTTGAATTATTGTTTTCGCCATACGTTCCTATTCGAAACAAAATATATAAGTTAGAAATCTTTGCAATTCAAACCGTTTCTAAAGTTACTGAGAACTACATTGTCTTGTATGTTCAGGTGTCATAACCGGGTGTTTTTGTTTTTATTCACTGTCATTTCATATAGTTTCCTCTACTGATTCACCTCGTGTACCATGCATCTTAACAGAACCTTCTCAAGTTACAAAAGTAAATAAATTACTGCATAATTCTTATCAACCAACGGAATATCAACAAAAGTGTAGAGTAATCTCAACATCAAATCTAATGGCCTTTCAAAACGAAAAGGCTTCAATCCATGAGAAATGAGGCATAGTATCCTGTGAATATTCCAAATAGAACCACCAGCGATTAAGTACAAGCCGCTAGTAGATAAGCTGAATTATAAAACGTTTATAAAGACACGGTGAATATTATGACAATCTTATCAAGAAAATATTATAAAAGTTATACTTTGATCAAATTAGTGGACAAGTCGCCGGAGATTATACTCGTTCAATACGGAAAACGGTCTTCCAATTCATATTCCATTCTACAAAAGGATTACCTGAAAATTGATTCAAATTCCGTAAGAAGAAGAAGTCAAAAGTGTATACCAAGAAGAAGATCAACGGTCACCTGGATGTCACCTCCTTTCACTAGTAAGTATGGGGAAAATGGCAAATATTTTTAAAAATAAAAGCCCTTTCTAAATTCGCTTTTATACATTATGGTTCTTTTTATTATTTTGAACGACTTTCATAGACTGCAAAAAAGGAGCGAGTAACCCGAAGATGAGGACGCTGTTTACACATCATTATTGAATGGATCATTTTTGTCAATTGAATCCATGGTGTTTTCCTTCAAT